TTGTTTAGACTTTTGAAAAATACCCTCTTTTTGTTTGTCTTTTTAAAAACAATTTGTAAATTTATAAAATTACTAAAAAAATGTATTGAAACTTAATAATAATTAATCCAAAGGATCTATATTTTTAATATCAAATCAATTAATCGGTATTAATTAAATATCTAATTTTTACAAAATTGTCCGTTGACCAAATCATGTTCGTCTTTCACCATGGATGTTGTTTTGTAACTTTGAACGTTATATAACTAATAGTTCGAAATATTCATTATCCTAAATATTTTTTAAGAACAATAATGAATAATAGCATTCTACCAATGTTAAGTATGATTTTTTGTTAAGTCATATGGTGGAGATTTTAATGATTCATTATTATTGAAAACACATAAAATAGTTTACTTTGCAAAAATATGTTAAAGAGAATCGTTTAATTGAAACAAACTTTGGTAATATATTTAGTTAAAAAATGTGTTTCGGACGTTAGAGATTTGTTTCTTTATATAATATGATAGATATTAAGCGATAGACTCTATAATATTGTTAACATTTAATATATCAAAATAAATAAACTATTTTTGTGTTAAAAATATATATAACCATGATTAATATTATTTCGAATTTAGTATATATTTTCTCTAAATTTTGATTTTTTATTTATTAAAAAAATAGCTTTAAATTAAATTTGAACAAAATTGTCATCTTATATATAATTGTAATTTTTATTATTAAAAAAATAGAAAAGGGGTATATTTCAAAGTATAACTCAAAAACAGGATATTTTTCAAAATCACCCAAATATTTATGATATAACTTTAAAACATAGTTAATTTTATATAATAATTCATATATTTGAATATATTATCATAATAATTTAATACATAAACACAATCAAATATATTTGTTGAAAATGAGTTCCCCCGCGACATCGCGGAGGTTCATAACCTAGTAATAATAATAATAATTTGAGTATCAACTTGTGGTTTCTGGAAACGTCAAAGATTGAATGATGGAAATAAATTGACATGCGCCAAAAAAGAAAACACAAAACACTCTGGTGAACTCCATGAAAGTATGCTTCCTAAAAATATCCGACGTTTAAACTAGAAATGGTTAAAAACTGTTATGCGGTGCAAATATGTTTTGAGTGTTGTCCTTCCCGAGAAAAGTTTGGACTGGATCGCGATAAATGCGGTACAAATGTGTATTTATAAGGGTTGTTCACCTCTTAGTCTCTAGTTATAACATGTGACTGGAGAATGCAAATTAGCAAATTGACAAATCAATGTCTCTCGTACTCCCGCTTTAAGATATGTGTTTGTTGTGTTTCATCACCATTTTTCTATACACAAACAAGAGTTATTGTGTTGTGTATGCATGACGGGGTGATGTGGGAGACCGCTTCATAGCGCTTATTCGGGCCAGGAAACTATTTTTTGTTTTTTTGGAAGAATTTAAATGTCATTTGCCAAATCATGGAAAATAACATATTCTTCCACAAACTATGTTATTTTATCGAATTTATATACGAAACTTTCATATATGCCTAAATTTACATTAATTAAGCCAGAATTTGAACGCCAACTATCTTATATTGGTGAAATACCTCAAATCGTGAAACGGTGTTATTGTGTCGTTAACAGAAGTTGACTAGGTCAACGTAAACCTTTAAAACTTTGTATCGTGCCTATAACTACATAAACTCACTAAATTTTGAAATTTCTATACGAATAATCCAAATTCGATCAAAACCAACAAATCGAGTAGTGTTGTTAGTTGAACCGTTAGTAGTCGCTTACTAGAATGCCACGTGGATGATGACACAAAACAAAGTTGTTTAAGAAACAATAAATAAACAATTGAGACCAAACTTTAATTCAGTTGAAATGCAAATATTGTTAGTGTTGTATGCTTGCAAGCATCTAGGTAAACGATTGGTTGTTAAAACAGAGGTGTTATGAAGTGGATAGTTTGGTTTCGGATTATTGTTTAGGGTTTAGGGTTTAGGGTTTAGGGTTTAGGGTTTAGGTCGTGTTAGATTTCTGTGATTTTTTTTTGTAAATTGTAAAACTCTATTCAATGTTTAATTTCCGACACATTTAGACGGAAGTCATCATGCCGTTAAGAGTAAACTCTATTTGGACCATATTTTTCTTGTCTGCAAATATTATCATGTTTCGTGATAATATTTTTATTAGTGTGTTTACTATGTAACGACTCGTTGATTTTTATGTAGCTAATGATATACTTTTTTACCCAAAAATAGTTCTGCCACACAAATTATACTAGACAATGACATTGCTCGGAAGGCAATAAGCAATTTGGACGATATTTTAAGGTTTGGTCCATGTTCCAATATCGTGTTTGGCACTGCTCCGAATCCACTTGATTGATACTCTTCCATTTGTTTTCTAATTGTTTGAAGCAAAGGTTATCCATTAAGGGGAACTTATCTATCCCACGTGGAATACTCACTGCCAAAGATTCGCAATATTAGACATATAATTGTCACTAATCAAACCATTAAACAAATGCAAATTGATTATGTTGAATTTAAAAAAGCCAATTTGACCTCTTTTAGATAGGCCTCTAGGGACAAATCCTCTTAAATCTCACTTAACTTTTATTAAGATAGTTTTTGGTTCGTGGCTATTAAATTAAGCCTGAAAATTTCAGCTTTTGCTTCACTTACAAGGGTTTAATCATGAATAAACAATGATTATCTCAAGCTATCATAATGATTAAAAGAAGTATGATCGTTATCAGTTCTTTTATGCATAAACTATTGATAAAATTATAATTGTCACGAGATGATTGATCGAGCAAGAAAACTAATTATAGTAGTCACGAGATAATGATTGTGTAGTATTTATACGTCTTAAGTCTAAACCAAAAATAAAATAACTTAAACAGTTGAAGTGAAACATTTTAATGATTCAAATGATTTAAAATTTGTAGAGGACAATGGCCTTCCAACAACCATTTGTACATTCACTTTCTCATTCGAAAGAAAACGTGTCCTAAAATTTATCTACACAATTTGGTGCTAAAAGAAAGAGATTATCAAACTAATGCAATGACAAACACGAACGTCACTCCAAGAAACCCAACCGTATATCGATCCTCAACTCTAAGAAGAATCCTAACGCCGCACCCGGCACCACCACCTAATTTCATCCTTTCATTTGATCAAATGGCATCTATCTATTCGAATTCATTCTAAAATTAAAGACCACGAACCATAACACTACGCTATAGGCATGACTCAATACATACTTAATTTGTAGGACCGCGAAATCCAGATTGAAAAACAGAGGGAGAAAACTTTCTTAACAGCTAAAACTTAGCATGGGACGCAAACCTCAGCCTCTCTATACGTTTGGAAAGAATGCATGCATTGTCGTAACGTTTTCTTCATGAACATATATAAGAAAGAGAGACGGAGAGACAAAAATGGAGTAGTATATTAGTGAAAAGACAATAGTTTAGAACAAGGGATAAATTACATTATAATTGGGTCTGAAGTTCGAAAATATTACACAAAAACCAGTCTATAATTTTGTCATGCGCGTGAAAATAACGTAGTTGACTTTTTGGGCGAAAGCATTTAATTCTGACATATATTTAATGCAAGTGAGTATTTAATAACAGTGAGACTATTATTAACAGTTGTTTTCTCAAATTGGAGAAATTTTAACACGTTACAAACATACATTACACGTCTTTAACATTTGTACACATGTTAACACATATATAGAGCGTTAAAAATAGTGATAGTGTTAAGTTATTTGATCTATATATACATGTAAATATATATATATATATATATATAACATTGGCATACATGTAACATGTACATAGAGGGTTAAAATTTATTTATATGCATAGAAACATGTACATAAAGCATTATTAACATTTGTATACATGTAAACACGTATATAGAGCGTTATTTAGACACCGAAATATTATTGGATTCATATGTTTTGTCAGTTTTTTAAAAAATTTCCGTCTGTTTTCACTAAATTGTCACCGGATTGTCACCGAAATTTTCACCGGATTCTATCGAATTGTCACCGGATCTTCATCAATTTCTGTCAAATCATCACTGCATCTTAGGTGTGAATGTGATTCATCATCCTAGTAACACTGATTAGATTCCATCATCGATAGCGGGTTTCCGCCATTGAACCAACGTCGTCGAACCATCAAATATAATTACAATTTCTTTCGTATATAGTAAATCGGTTACCAATGACGAGAAGTAACATAAAACGTGATAAATTTTGAATAAATGAAAAATCAATTACGATAAATTCCAAAACTTAATCATGTTTAATAATTCAGAAAGATAAGAGAAAAAGAAGAGAACAAGAATTTTTTTTATCAAAAAATAGAACACTATTAACATAAATAGACAACTTAAAAGCAAAAAAAACTATAAAAAATCATTCGTTTATCTCATGTATAGATCGATTATAAAACAAAAGGGTGGGAAGGGGAGAGAGGGGCGTGAAGTTATATTTGGTAGAAAAGATGGCTAAAATTTTTATTGTCGTAGATTTTACTAAAAAAACTAATTTCTCTCTGAATCCCTGTCTCCTAGAAAAACGTTTTCTTCTTTCATGAGTACCTAAACAACACATTCATAGAATAGTTTGCAAACATTCAAAATTTGTTAAAATTAAACATGCATATACGACTCACCGCATTTTTCAATGGCCGAATGAATTTTTGAGGAACGATTAAACAAAGATCTTTTTTTCAATCACACTAAGAACACCACGTTCATGAAAACAATGAACACCGTAAACGAGACGAGCCATTTACCGCAGCCTTTGAAACTTTATCCAGTGAGTAGCTAGAGAAATTGGCTCAAGCCTTAGTATTGACACACAAAAATCACAAACCGTGCAATTTCCTTTTTGAACACAAATACAACAATTTTATTTCAAATCAAATGGATCACACTCAAAACTACATTTACATATACCAAGAAAGCCAGCATATAATTTGAGAGGCCCGACGGTGGCCAAGTTTGGCGTTTATTTAATTAGTTATCATCCTTGTACCATTTCACAATCATAAAACAGAAAATACCGATCAGAAAATAATATTAAGAGTTAAGAAACACACAAGTTTGTATGGAAAACAGAAAATAATATTTCAGATATATATATATATATATATATTTTCAAAAAGGTAAGAACAGTAACAAGAAAAAAACATACGTAGGATAATATAACATATAGATCCGTAGGATAAAAACTTAATATAACATATAGATCCATATTATTATTAAACTCTAATGAGTAGTTGTTGTGGTTTGGTGTGTTTGTTGTGGCTGCGACTGCGCATAATGTCCCAACTCTTTGGCTTTCTCCGCTATCCTCATCCTGGCGTAATCCACTTTATCCGCTCCCATCGGGTGTTTTCCGGAAACGTACTTATAAATCCACGTTAACGCCGTCGCTGCCGCCACACCACAACCACCAGAGAATAGGAATCCCATCGTCAAAAGCCCCATCGTTATCACCGCCGGCACCAACACCGGGCTGAATAAAACCATTAGCGGCGTCGCTACGACCAAACCAATCACCGTTCCGGTTAGTGTTAGTCCTGAGAGCACCAGGAGTGATAGGCCGATCGTTGCTGCGGTTAGGAATCTCACTATCTGCCGTGTCGATGGTGATGATTCGTGGAGATTCTTCATTATTGGTTGTTGTTGATCAGCCATTTCTTTTCTTTTTGTCTCTTTGTGTTTTTTTTTCTGGAGAAATTATGGATTTGTGTTTCTTTTGATTTTTTAGCTTTGAGAAGTTGACTATTTTTATGAAGAATGAAAATAGACGAATGTGAAGGAGAGGCTAAACAAGACACGTGGTGAACGATGAGGCGTGTTAGGCAATGGAGAAGAGTGTCATGCGGGCGTGTCAGTTCTGCATGGAGCTACTTTGACGAGGTACTGACACGTGTTCAATTAATTAGTTCTGAATTAATCTCATCTTGAAGCTTATTGGGCTATTATCTGGGCTTGTGGTGACTGTATTTATCCTTGCGAAGTTGAAATAGTTTCTATTGGAAGTAAAGAAAACATACCAAGAGGTGTGATTTTGGGGTTTGGTTTGGATTTGACTCGGTTAGTTTTAGCTTTAATAAAAATTCTAACGAATTCAAATTTATATATACTATATTGGTTTGGGTTAAAACAATTAATGAAACACAAAATCACACATTAATGACAAAAGAATTAAGTTTTTTTTTTTTTAACTATCAAATGTGGGTTAGGGTGACAATATTGTTTGGTTTATTTGAGTATTTATTGTTTGGTTTATTTGATTATTTAACAAATAAACATATCAGTTCATCGTTTGGTTTGGTTTTAAACCAAACCGTTGGAGTTAGAATAAAATTTTTAAGGTTTAGATTTGAAATTTAATTTTAATTTTAAAAGTCTATTTGTATAGATTTTAAAATTATTGCAATATATATTGAATAACAGTAGATTGATGTTGGATTTCAATTTTAAAGATTGATTTAGAATCATTAATTGAATAACGGTAGATTGGTGTTGGATTTCAATTCTATTAAAATCCATGATTGAATAACACCTTTTTAACTGAATGGTTTGAACATAAAATCTAGTTCGATTATGTCCATTCTAACTCAAAACAAAACAAAATTTGTAGGTTAAATCCTATCTATTTTGGTATAAACCGGATATGAATTTAAAATTTCGAAACCCACTAAAAATCTGACTTTGCGAATCAGTCCGGGATGGATATGGGATTTGTTTTCGGATTAGCAAATTAGTAAAACAGTTAGCATTATATGAATAAGTACACTTATATATTAGAAGAAAATATAATATATGAAGCATGATTATGAATAAAAAAATAAAAATCTTAAACTTGATTAAAGAAATTAACTTCTTTTCCTAATATTAATATTTTTATTTGACTTAACATTAATTATCTTTTTTTTTTCTTTCTAATATTAACAATTTATTTGATTGAAAATTATTTATTTAATCTTAAACTTGATTAAATAAAATGAATTCAACAATCGAAATTAGTTTCGTTTTCTAATATTAATAATTTTATTTAATTCTTTGACGAATTTGTTTTTTTTTTAAATTTAATTCGAAATATCTGAATTTACTATTTAGCACGTATGTCCAGTCCAGCCTGCGAAACCGTGGGCTTTAATATCTGGGCCTGTAGTGTATCTTCTCGGGAGACAATTTTTTGAAAAAAAAAAAAAAACTTGGACGCAGATATATCGACACGTGGCAGAATCTGGATTCGACCGTTGCTGCTTTGCTGGTTAACGTTTTTTCCCCTTTTTAAAAATTTCTGAATTTGGATCTGTTTTACACTCGTCGTCTCTCTCTCTTCTCTTCTCTTCTCGTCCTCTCTTTCTCTCGCTTATCTTAGGTCATCATCGATCTCTTCCATGGGGATTTCTACAGAGACGCAGCAAAATGTAAGAAATTACTTGTTCTTGGTTCACGAATTCGAAATCTAATGATTCCTTTTTTGGTTCTTTTGCCGAATTTTGTATCGATTTAGGGTTTTGAAATCATTATTATCTCTATCTCTCGCGTTCTCGTTTGTGTTTTTCTCTGCTGTTGGTCTGTTTTAATGGTATTGATGATCTGGGATTATCGATTAGGTTGCTTGATTTTCTTTGAGTCAGAAAGAATCACGTTGCGTTCTAATTCGATCTTCTCTGTTTGATTTGAGAAATAATTGCTGGTAAGATTTCGAGAAATTTCATGATATGAATGTGGATTTAGCGTCGTTTACAGTGAGAACCGAGGATTAGGGTTTTGGGATCTTTGATTTTATTTTTTGATTCCTGATAATAGTTGGATTTAAAGGATAGTTCTTCGTTTCTAGTGAAAACTTGTTAAGTGTATGATTAACGAAAGAATTTGGTTGTGAAAACAGAGTGCTTTCTATGATTATTTGTCGTTTTGATTCTGAGAGGTAACTGGATTTCTATCTTTGAGATATTGTATCAGGCGGTTTCAGAGGCTGCACAAAAGAGATGGACTACTAGCGATTTCGACGTTGGAAAGCCTCTTGGTAGAGGGAAGTTTGGCCATGTTTATCTAGCAAGAGAGAAACGGGTTAGTGTGTCTTTACAACTATGTTAAACAAGTGATGTCAATTTAACCAAGCTGACATGTATACATATATGCAAACAGAGCAATCACATTGTGGCTCTTAAGGTTCTTTTTAAGACTCAGCTTCAACAATCTCAAGTTGAGCACCAATTACGAAGGGAAGTAGAGATTCAATCTCATCTTCGGCATCCCAATATTCTGCGACTCTACGGTTACTTCTATGATCAGGTGCTGTGTTGTGTTATGTGTGTGTTTTAAGCATTTCTTGTTGACATACAATGTTTGTCCTTGTGTGGATAACACAGTTTTTTGGGATATCATTTTTGTTTGCAGAAAAGAGTTTATTTGATTTTAGAGTATGCAGCTAGAGGTGAGCTTTATAAAGAGCTTCAGAAGTGCAAGTACTTCAGCGAACGTCGAGCAGCAACTGTAAGTCCTAGTGATACTTGCCTCTGAATCAGAACCTGTGTAGTCTTTTCTATTCTCACTTCTTGAAGTACAACTCATACCCTTATTTTTATCTTGCAGTATGTTGCGTCATTGGCAAGAGCCCTCATCTATTGCCATGGAAAGCACGTTATTCACAGAGATATTAAGCCTGAAAATCTATTGATTGGTGCTCAGGTAACAAATTCAACCTGATTATCTTTCTCCATCAATGCCATGTGATTGAAGTTAGCTTATATATTTCTGTATTCGTGGATATTTTCTATTAGGGTGAGCTCAAGATTGCAGACTTTGGATGGTCAGTACACACATTCAACCGCAGAAGGACTATGTGTGGCACTTTGGATTACCTTCCGCCTGAGATGGGTAAGTGAAAGGTCTCCAGTGTGTTTCTTAACTAGTCTCATCTGCAACCACCTAATTGACTTTTCGTCTACTTTTGGATTTACAGTCGAAAGCGTAGAACATGATGCAAGTGTGGATATATGGAGTCTAGGAATTCTCTGCTACGAATTTCTTTATGGTGTCCCTCCTTTTGAGGCCAGGGAGCATTCAGAGACATACAAAAGGTAACCTGTTCATTAAGCTTACGATGGGATTAGTATGATGTGGTGGTTATATGAACATTAAAGAACAATTTTTGTTCTACGTTGCTGCAGGATTGTCCAAGTGGATCTCAAGTTCCCTCCAAAACCTATTGTGTCTTCATATGCAAAGGACTTGATTAGCCAGGTTTCTACTAGCATTACTCGTAAATCTCTCTTAAGCTTTAGTGCATTTGAGAGTGAATTCTGATATCTCACACTTTCTGATCAAATAGATGCTGGTTAAGGAGTCTACACAGCGTTTGGCCTTGCACAAGCTTCTTGAACACCCGTGGATTGTGCAAAACGCAGATGCGTCGGGCATCTACAGAGGTTGAAGCTTCATGCTTCTATGCAGAGAAGAAAAGACTGCATTCTTGGCACCACTAAAAGAAATCTGACCAATTCATAGTCCATATATAAATCTAGCTGTGTTGTACTATAATTGTCAACAAAGTTTATAGCAACAAGATTCGTATAACTTTGACACCAATTAGTTTCGAATCATCACGTTTAAAAAAATCGTTTGGAATGGTTTCAAACTTACACCAATGTTTGTGCATTGGTCGTGGTACTAATCTAATCTTAATTTTACAACTTATGACACATTGGTCATCAGCAACACCATCTTGGTCGTTGCTCACACCTATCACATCAGCCACTGCCTTTGTCTTTTCTGCATCGTTGCTCAGAGCAACTCCTAATGATCATTTGATAGAATGAACTGAATCATTAAACAGCAGAAATATAAATGAGTGGCAATGAACGTCCTTGTTAATCAAGACTGCTCTAAGACCTTAATAAAAGTTAGTGACTATATAATGCAAAGTCAATAAAAGTTTGATAAAAAAACATTATACATTTTTTTTGTTTACGATTTTTTGTTACGCTCTTAAAACTATTATTCACGGCTCTGAACATAAGGGTCCTAATTGTATGTACATATATCATGTTTTGAGAAAACGTAACGATAGATGATTAGTAATTGTATTTTTTTCATGTTATCTTCGCTGTGTTTATCTCTATACTATTAAAAGAGAAGTACAAATGAAAATGGGTCGGGTTAAAATCAGAAAATTGACCCGAAATTCTGAAATCGGATCTTTGAAATTTTTTTGGAATATAAATTAGAATTAATAATGAAAAATCGAAATAAAATCAAATATTTATGGAAATCAAATAAAATCTGATTGTACTTATGGTAACTAATAATAAAAGCATATTCCAAACAATATTATACATTAATTACGTATAATAAATTTGTTCATATATTTTTGGGACTAATTCCATAACAATCAACGTTTTTGTCATTAATTTTGCTCATTTTAGCCAATTATCATTAATTGAAAGATATTTTACTTGCTTCTAAAGATTTTTAGAAAATTTATCACAAATAACCCATCTGTTTTATAAATTAAATTGATATTTTTATTTTGGTCGTGTAAATTAAATAGATATGAAATCCATGTAACTAATTTTAATTTAATTAGATTAAATCGAAATTATGATATTTTCATACCTATAGCTTACCAAAGAAGTTTAATTTTCAATTTATAAAGATTTCTTGAATATGATTTTAGAATTATTCAACAAGATGATAAGTATTTATTAAATTTTGTGAATCATGAAAAATAATAATTAATTTTTAATCATTATACTTCATCTTTCAATCTCTCATCTAAAAAATAAGATACATATTCTATTATTACTATGTCCAAACTTCATTTTGTTGTATGACTAAATAATATTCCCATTAGAATTGTCAAAGCGAGTTGATTCGTCCCGTTAAGTCCGTTTTACGATAGACAAAAAATATTTTGACTTGTAGTTAGTCGGTCCGCACGACCCGCGAGTAGCATATATGAAATACAAACCTGTCCCGCGAATGTATGCGGATTTGCGGGATTGTCCATGGATTTTGTTTAAATAATTTTAAAGTAACCAAAATTTAAAATATTACTAAAATAAATAAATAAATCAAAATACTATTAACAGTTTGTTTAAATTACCACATGTTGAATAAATTATAATTTTATCAATAAATACTAATATGCGGGCTGATTCGCCAACCCGCGGATGAAAACCGATTAAACCTATGACCCACTGCGAATTAATCCATGTGGCCCGCTTATTTGCGGGTTTAATATATTTTCCCAAATCTGCCCCATAGTGAGATGATGTGGGCTCGACCCGCGGTTTTTGACCTATTTTGACTGCTCTAATTCCCATGAATCGTCTAATTTTAGAATTTTAAAACACAAAATTCTATTTTGTAAATCATAATTAATACGATGGGTATATTTATAAACAATTTTACATTTTCTCTACAATTCGTTATTATGAATATTTATAAGTATATTACACGATTCGTTCTACTAAAAAACATACACAATATTAAACGCAACGTATGTAAACCAATATTCTCCCGCGGTGGACCGCGGGTCCGATCCTAGTAAATACAATTATACTTTTCAACACTTGTTTCTAATTGACTACTTGCTATTATCTCCTATTTACATAGCTACGTAAATTATAGCAACACTTAGAAACGAATTTAAGAACATAAACGTAATCAACAGCAAGAAAATAACACTCTTGATTCATTCTTTTAAAAGTTTATTTTTTAATCGTTGAGCAATCAACAAAAAGTTGTGAAAATGTCCAAAAAAATTCTCAACTTGTAAAAATGGTTGAAAAAGCAAAAACTTTCCGATTGTTGAAAAATTCTCAATCATTATTGATTTTGCATTTTAATCATCAATTTTTGTTGATTGATCTAAACTAGTGATGATGTTAAATAGCTACTTAATAACATGACTAATGTGGCAAAGTTAACAAAAGTTAGCGATTAAAATTTTAAAAGTCAATAAAAATTGGCTATATATTTCATCGAATGCAAAGTTGAAAAAAAGAAATTCGAAAGTCAATCGAGAATTTTTTTGACATTTTTTCTTTATTAATTTTATATTTTGAGTTTCAACTTTCAACGAGTTATAAACTTGAATGTACATATAACTAGGCATGTCAATCAGGCTGATCCGGCCTGGCTTGGCCGAATATCCACATATATTCGAGGCTGGTCTGGCCCTAATAGAGTTACATGGATTTTTTTGGGGGTTTTTAGGCTTTTCTAACGAGAAAAAAAGCAAATTATAAATTTGTAACATGTTTTGAAAAAATGAATCTATGAAATGAGTCAATCAAAATTTAAATAACAATCAATATTCATTAAACTCAATTTAATTTGAAAACAACGAACTAAATAAATTGTTTAAACTTACACCAAATAAAACATGAAATCAAATCAAACGAGGTAGTAAAGCCAAAATTTGAATCTACTTTGATGTCTTCTAATCTTCCATTGTTTTAATGCTTCTAAATCTATCTTTTCATCAAGATCTACATATCAAATAAAATTTTTATTTTTTGATGTCGACATATATAAACTATACAAAATATCATAGATAAAGATTTTTAAAATATTAAGTAAATATGAAAACTATGGTTTGGGTCTTCAACTTTATTTAAAATAAATCCTTATACAAATCTCCCAACTAAACTACAAATGTTTTAATAAATATCATAATATGTTTGTAAGGGTTTTTGGACCGACTCGAACCGGTTAGGCTAAGCCTAAAAGCTTCTTTAGTTCGCACGAGCTAATCCGAAAAATCTATTTTTCTTTAACATATGTATATATACTAGATTAGGACCCTTCCGATGAGTTTAACTGTGCTACCCGTGAGTTTTAATCTTAATTGATATCTCTACATATAACCTAAACAAGATCAGTCCCAAGTTTCAAATTTTAAAGCATTCGAATTTGTAATGCAATTTAATTTAGGTACCATTTGTAACAAATAATATATATATGGCCAAAATTGAACATTTAAGAAACACAATGGACAAAAAATGAAAAAATATTATTAAGCTTCTGATTTTGGGGAAAAAAAAAAAAACCAAAGAAACTGAATTGTTTTTTAAAGAGTTTTTGGGTTTGTTCCTCATTGTTTTGCTGGAGATTTCTTCCATGAAACTCTAACAGATGAGAAGTTGAATCTGTGTTTTCTGTATTAGATTCGAATCCAATTCCGTTTGTTTTTGGTTGATTTTGCTTCTGAGAGAACCCAGATCCGAAGTTTCTCCAGGAACAATAATGTCGGTAAGGCATGGCCAATCTTCGTATCGAGATCGGACGGGCGAATTTTTCAGTATTGTGGAGAGCTTGAGGAGATCGATTGCGATTTCTCCAGCGACGAATAATGTGCCGTATAGTGAGAGAAGAGAAGATCTGAATAAACGATCTGAGTTCACCAAGAGAGCTAGATCAATTGGTTTAGCTATTAGTCAAACGTCGCAGAAGCTCTCGAAGCTTGCCAAACGTAAGTTGTGAATCTAAGTTGCTTTCGTTGTTTAACCTGTAATGCCTTTGATTTACTTGAGAATGTTTCATTGTGAATCAGTTGCAAAGAGGACATCAGTTTTTGATGATCCGACTCAGGAGATACAAGAGCTGACAGTAGTCATCAAGCAAGAGATCTCTGCTCTAAATACTGCTCTGCTCGACCTGCAAGTGTTTCGTAGCTCTCAGAATGATGAAGGGAACAACTCTAGAGACAAAACTACTCACTCAGCAACAGTTGTTGACGATCTTAAGTATCGGCTGATGGACACTACCAAAGAGTTTAAGGATGTTCTTACCATGAGAACCGAGGTTCTTTCTTTGTTTCTGTGTCGATTTCTTTTCGATTACCTTATTGCTAGTGGTATTGATGCTTGATTTATTTGTCTGGTGTTGCAGAACATGAAGGTCCATGAAAATCGAAGGCAACTCTTCTCTTCAAATGCGTCAAAAGAATCAACAAACCCATTCGTTCGCCAGCGCCCTTTGGCTGCTAAGGCTGCTGCTAGTGAATCTGCTCCTCTTCCATGGGCGAATGCGTCTTCTTCATCGTCATCTCAGTTAGTCCCATGGTATAGTACTATTAACCACAGTTGCAAATACAGCATACCTCTTGAAATCTGGCTAAGAATTTGCTATGGTTTACTAGAATCTTATTTGTACCATGTCAGTCGTTACTGATTTTAGATTTGGCTTGTCAAGAACTCAAGACGTTGCATAATATCTGCATTTACAGGAAGCAGGGAGAGGCCGAATCTTCACCATTGTTGCAGCAGAGTCAACAACAACAACAGCAGCAGCAGCAACAGATGGTCCCATTGCAAGACACATATATGCAGAGCCGAGCTGAAGCTCTACACAACGTCGAATCAACAATCCATGAGCTAAGCAATATCTTCGCTCAACTAGCAACCATGGTTTCTCAGCAAGGGGAGATTGCTATCAGGTTCGGCTTCCTCATGAGGAAAACACCAAAATGTTTCTAATGTTTTAAGATTCATTTTTGGAAACGAAGTATAATATAATATGCTGCTGGTTTGCACAGAATCGATCAAAACATGGAAGATACATTAGCGAATGTGGAAGGCGCACAGAGCCAGCTTGCCAGGTATCTAAACAGCATTTCGTCAAACCGATGGCTGATGATGAAGATTTTCTTCGTACTCATTGCATTTCTCATGATTTTCCTCTTCTTCGTGGCGTAAACATTGAGACTAAAAATTGACTTTAAAGAGTTTCAACATCTAGACATGGTTCTTTTTTTTCTGTCGTATCTTATTGACATGTAAAGACCAAAAGAGAAAAAGGGATCTTATGCTCTGTTCAGATTAATAGAGATATATAATGTCTTTTCCATGTAAAATTGCTTTAAGTTTTCCAAACAAATTTTTGTTTTTCTGCTTCTCTTTTCACTTCCACTCCTTGCCTACCATTAGGAATGTTTCTAATTCCATTTGCTATTTATTTGTTTATTTTGTTTGTATCATTTCTAATTAATTAAATTAAGAGTAATGAAATATTGATATATACTTTGGAGGGAAAAAAATCCCTTGGGGAAATAATAGTACTCATAATGTTTAGGCTAGAATCTCTTACTAATAAAAGGAACTCATTAAAGCTTTTCAGACCATCCACATCAGCAAAAGAAAGACAACTTCATCTTCTTAATTGCCCACTACAATCTCATTGATTGCCTTTCTTTCCAAAGCTTATAAAATCAAGGAGTTCGAATGCAACCATCATCCCAACATCTTTGTAACGAGACTCACCAATCAAATCATGTCATCTGTAGCCACTTCCTTCTATTCCAAACCGCTTACCATAAAAACTTTCGATGACCTTGAAGAAGATTTTCGTAAAGAAGAAGTCTTATTCAGATTAATCAATTCTGTAAAGAAGGAGTCTCGCAATCACACAATCGATAACCAGAAACCAGAAGTTTAGGATCTACCACATCATTGATTTCGCAGCCATTGTAGTCAGAAACAGAGAGCTTTTGGGTAAGCACCACCACTATATGTCTATATCAAGTTGTCCCAAACCGCCATATCAATTACAATGGTACACACCACCTATAAGAAATCCAGCAAAGTTAAGGTATTCAGCTAATTAAATCTCCATTCTATTACGATGTCTTTTGTGTATATGATGATCTGCAGCCTGGACATCATCTCTAATGTTTCCCATATACTGAAATATCAGTTTGTGACAAGCATAACGACGTCTCAAGATTATTAGACTATTGGTGGTTCTTTGGAGATTTAGAGATTCAAAAAATTATATATATTTTACTGACTTAAGATTCTGAATTTTTTTAATAATTTGGTTTCGGAAACAATTTAAGTTCTTAATATGATTATTTAGGTTGGGAACTTAATCGTCGAGTCAATCGCGTTTAATATTGTCTTATCCTCCTTATAGCAGCTGCACAGTCATTGTTTTAGAGTTCAGTGACAAACTTAAGCTTTCTAAAGCAGCGAAGAGGTATGAACATCAAGATCCCCGCCAAACTACAAGATCCGTAGTTACATACTAAATTGCAACCTTAGTTCTGCAAAGAGAATGATTAGAGAAAGAATGAGCTATGAGACTAGAACGATTGGAAGAGAAAGGAGAATATTTTATCCAAGGATCAAGTTTTCTCTTTTTAGGGTTCTAAATAGATTAGTGGTGAAATGGAATAAACAAGAAAGAGGTGTTTGTAAACTGAAAAAATAAAAAATGTTTAATTTTAAAAATCCTCCTAATATCATCATATAAGGGGGTCCCTCATATAAGGTATGATTTACCCACAGTTTTTCACTTTAAATTGTCTCTCAAATCATATCATATATAATTTTACTACAACATCCCAGTTTTGCAATAACGAGAGATTTAAAACATTATTATAAATGATTAATCAAATAACCATATTTGGAATGATTTTAACAAATGATAAATTCAATACGGTAGGATTTTAATACATTTCAGAAAATCACTGGTGCAACAAGGGTAGATAGTTTTAAAAACACAAATCATCCCAAATCTATAATTCAATATGCCCCCTATTAATAATAAAAATAAGAATTAAAATTTTAAATATAAATTACAATGAAAAAGTTATAAATAAATATCATTAGATCAGTAATATATACGTTTTCTTCACATATATATATATATATATATATATGTTAAATACAACATTACATGAATATATATATAAAAAAAAACAGAATACTAAGTTAACAAACTTTAAAATATCAAATATAAAATATTAGTCCTGGGCATTCGGCAAAAACCGGACAAACCGAACCGAATAAACCGACATTTTCGGTTTTCGGCTTCAGTTTAGTTTTGAGTTACGAACCGATCGGCGAGATTTGAAATAACATTCGGTTTTTGATTCGGTTCGGTTCGGCACCCAATAACCGAACGGTTATTCGGTTCTCCTCCAATCATCACCATAACCCCTGAAAATCTTGTCTGTAACTGAGATAGAAGAAATAAGGATGATGGAGATGTTAATTATCGGCCATGAGAAAACTTTAAATGAAGAAGATGGTTAAAACGCTAGGGTTGTTGTGTTTTATCTTTAGGCTAATATGAATTTGTTTAAATAAAAAATGTATGTTGGACAATTATATGGGCCTAGCTTTACTAATTGTTGCATGGCCCACAAACTCAAAACCCTTTTTCTATTATTCCTTTCCATTTTATCAGCTTATGGTTCTCCATCCTTCATTTCTCTCTCTCTGGATCTTATCCAATAATCACTAAAACTCTATTCTCTAGATTCTGTCAAACCAAATCATGGTGGATCATATATTGACACAGAGTCACGACGAGAAGATGGGAAAATCGAAGATGATGGGGATGATTGCGTTCGATCGTGCGGCTTTCTCTGACTCTATCAGTTCTGATTTCTTCTTCTTATAGCTTTTTTATTCCTTCTGTTTCGATTGGTTTGTTGTGCATATACATATGGCTTCTTCTTCTTGATTTTTAGGTCAAATATTCCCAATGGAAGAGGCTGATTTCGCCGTCAAAGATTTTGGTTAACCGAATGAACCGAGGAAAAAATAAATTCGGTTTAATTTCGGAATTGATTTTAGACCCTAAAACCGAACCGAAAAAAACGAGTGCCGAACCGAACCGAACCGAATATTTATTCGGTTTAATTCGGCAGAATTTTAAATAACCGAAAAAACCGGAAAACCGAATAAACCGATCCGATTAAACCGACTAAACCGAACGCCCATGCCTATTAAAAATATATCCGGGCGTAGCCCGGATTCTCCCCTAGTACTTGTAAATATTTGAATTGATTGTAACACTGTGTTGTTTGGTAAGTCGCTTCATTTGTACGTTTAGCTCTTCCAGTTCAGGACTTAATGCCTTAAAGAGAGCGTCTACTTTGGTTTCATCTACCTTGTCTAAGCTTGCTGGTTTCCATTTCGAATTCTGCAAGAAAAAACCACTCATCAATGAGCTTATAGTAAGGCAAAACAGAGGCCAAAAAGGTGACTCAGACATGTCAATATGTATATAATCGTCAAAGACGATTTCCTTAAAATGGCACTCGCCGATGCAAACTTTATGCTTTTGACTCAACTCGAGAAAATAGAAAGCACACAATAATCATGTGACAGAATGAACTCAATGGATGATAATAGAATTTTGTCTATCTAACAAGTAGCAATCCCTAATACACATGCCATTGTAGTATATTAGGTTATCAATCCAATCTCAGTGTGACTGCAAGCATTCAAGATATGAAACAGAAAGCAAATAAGTCAAGCCAATTATGAAAGGGTTTTGTGTGTTTCTATTGATCCTAGCAACCAATTTAACATGCAAATACCAAATTTAAAAGCATAAAAAGAGAACTAAACAGCAAGTAAACAAGAACAAGAAGTAAACTAAAGACCAGAAACTATCATGCAAAAGCTTTGGAAAAGAAACTAACAACCTAACAATGCAGAGAAGCACTCTAGGCCTAACAGGTCGAGTAGAACACAAAGACTAACAGAAACAAGATTTAAACAATCAATAGAGAGAAAAGGTCCTGAGGAATGGGGTAATCGATTATGGCAGTCTCCTTAGTCTACCTAGGTGGTTAACAAACTCAATCAAGCTATCCCTAGACAATAGATTCGAATACAAATCAATCCACTCTCGTGACAGAGATTCTCAAGCTAAATCACTTTCATACTCAATTCTCATTGAAGAAATATAACCTAGCAGGCATTATGATTCAATCTAATAAAGTCAATAAGCATTCTAAACATCCAATCTCTTGGGCTAGAGTATGCAAATCTCTGGAATAGTTGGTTCAGACATTTCATCAAACACCTTTTGGGTGTGGAAATGTCTGAGATCAACTTCCAATTGATCAGAGAGGAAATAGCATTAAGATCTACTAAACCAGAAGGGAAATCAAGCAATTCTACACTTAACCACCTAAATATACTAAGGATTCCACACCTAATCTAACCCATCCTCAAGAACCCTAATCCACTACTCAAGAACACTGAAGAACATCATGCATAAAAACCCAGAAAACGTTTCAAACCCAGAAATCATTGAAAAGCAAGTATGTTATAGATAAGAGACAGATCTACAACTTTGATGAAGAAAAGAAATGCAAAAACTCAAAGGATCAACAGGAAAAACGATTACAAAAACTAGGGTTTATGAGAGAACAGCGGAATATCTGCTGGGTAAAAGGAATATCCCCTGGACAATAGCATGTACCCCTATTTATAGGAAATACTAGGTTGCCCTAATTGGCTACATGACAGAATAGAGAGTCGGTGAAGGCCAACTCGACGTGTCGTCGAGCCTGACACGTCGAGACCATGTGATTCTCAAAGGTGGCGCCTTGATGTCCATCTCGACGTGACGTCGAGCCTGCGTGGTCGAGTCTGCTCCCAGTCGGCTTCCTGGCGTCCTACTCGACGTGTCATCGAGTCCATATGGTCGAGTCTGCTCCCAGGCGGCTTCCTGGCGTCCTACTCGACGTGAAGTCGAGCCATGACGTCGAGTCTGGTCCTGGGTGATCTTGAACGACTTCATTCCTCTCCAATTCGATCCCAAGTCTAGCTCCAAGGTCGTGTTAGTTCCTCCTTGCTCCATTAAGTCCCAAATAAGCTCCAAAGTACCTAAAACTCATCCAATATGCAACATGCTATGCCATGCTGCCATGCAATGCAAATCGTACTAAGTGATGAAAATCTTATGAAAATGGACTATTAATGCAGTGAAACAGAGAGGAAACTAAGCTAAATGCATAAGAAATGTGTGCTAAAAAGAGGTAAAATACAGAGATATCAACTCCCCCAAACTTAGCTCTTGCTTGCCCTCAAGCAAACAAATAGAACCAAGCTGGAGAAGAGGTTTGAAAGTGGAGACTCAGAACCAAAACATGCATATAGA